GATTTCCAACATTATATTACACGATTTGGTATATGCATCATATATGGACTTTATAACCACATTTCATAATATATTTCATACATTTATATTATATTATACACCTTATATTACATGATTTTAATCTATAGATTTTCGGCATTATACTTTTATGGTTGACTTTTTTGGTATATAAATCATATATATATTTTATAAATATATTCCAAACTATATTTCATACATTTATATTGTGTTATACACCTTATATTACACAATTTTAATCTATATATTTTCAACATTATACTCTTTTGGTTGACATTTTTGGTATATGCATCATACATGGACTTTATAAACCTTCATTTCATTTATATTGTGTAATAGATCTTCATTTCATGATTTATCTTCATATATGAAATATGTTTTCATGTCTCACTAAATTTACCCGTATTTATATATCATACTATATTTCATACAATTATATTGTGTTATAGACCTTATATTACATGATTTCAATCTATATATTTCCAACACTATACTTTTTTGGTTGACATTTTTTGGTATATGCATCATACATGGACTATATAAACCTTCATTTCATTTATATTGTGTTATAAACCTTATATTACATGATTTCAATCTATATATTTCCAACACTATACTTTTTTGGTTGACATTTTTTGGTATATGTATCATACATGGACTATATAAACCTTCATTTCATTTATATTGTGTTATAGACCTCATATTACACGATTTCAATCTATAGATTTCCAACATTATACTTTTTTGGTTGACATTTTTTGGTATATGCATCATACATGGACTTTATAAACTTTCATTTCATTTATATTGTGTTATAGACTTTCCTTTCATGTTTTTCTTCATATATGAAATATGTTTTCATGTCTCACTAAATTTACATGTATTTATATACCATAGTTAGACGACATATAGAAATATCAACCAAAAAAGATATATCATCACTCTCATGTTGACATTTAATGGACGAGATACGTTTTGGTAAGAAAATATTGCAAATACGGTTTTCTATAATTATCTTCCTACTAAAATAAAGAAATTGTTTTACCTACAAGTTATAGATTAACCATAATAAATATCAAAGATTCCATAAATTTCGGTAACTTACCGTAGTTGGATTACCATTAACTGTTAAACTTTAAACTTCCTAACTAATTCAAATTAAAATCTTCAAGAAATATTTCTTATTCCTCAAAAGAGATATTTTAAAAAAATCGTAATAAAATATTCTCCCATACATTCGCGTAACCTAACTGTATATCGTCCCTACATATTATAAATATAGCATCTCTTAACCATTATATTTATCATCTCTCGAAAACCTAAAACAAAAATGGCGAATAATTTGCAGTTGTCTTTCTTGAGCGATATAAAACCGAGGAAGACTGCTTTCGCATCCAATTCAAAATCCTTCATACGTGAAGACATTTCATGAAAGACTAAGAGAGTCCATGGAACTAATCTTTTGTGATGCAAATGTAAATTTATCGTTTTGTATAGATTTTTGATTTAGATATCTTCATTTCGTTAAATTTTAACCTAAATGATAATGTTTTATGTTTATATAGGGAAGTAAGATCCATGCCTCGTGTAACAAGACATACATTCCTAGAGACTGTTAATCCTGAAATACCAGAGACATATGAATTTAAACAATGGTATATATCTTCTTCAACAAAAAAATTTTCACTTTATAATATTATAGACTAAATTATAAAACTTATTTATAATCGGAGAGGTAATGATGATTCTCGAGCGTTAACCCTGGCTGAATCAAAATCGCAGAGGTAATGATGATTCTCCATCGATCCATTTTAGGATTGTGTTTGTTTAGAAATAATGTTTTTAGTTATGTTTTTACAATCGCGTTATGATGATTCTCGAGCGTTAATCCTGGTTGAATCAAAATCGCGTTTTGTTTTCACCCAATAATTTTCATTTTAAATAATATTTGTTTTTCTTAACGATTTATTGACTGATTTATTTATATGAAAAATGCATAGTGTTGTATAAAACAGATCAATATACTATTATATAATAAATGAAAATCGATTTATACTATATTTGCTGCATATTAGAACAAAAAATGAGATACTTGGAGTAACAATCTCATTTGTTACTCCAGAATCTTGCAATATTTAAATTCTTCCTTATATACTTGGAGTTATTTTTGACTCTCATAAAAAAATTATTTTTGAGCTACCTTTGACTCTCATAAATTAATTTAATATTTTATTTTATGGGTAACAAAAAAATACCCGCCCTTCTTAAGCGTGGGTCAAAATTGAATATTATTTTTATTGTTCAAAAATCATATATGTAATTATTTTAACTAACGTAAATAAACTATATAAGATGCGCGGGTCAAAATTGAATATTATTTTTATTTTTCAAAAATCAAAGTTGTAATTATTTTAACTAACATAAATAAACTATATAAGAATCTCGGGTCAAAATAGAATATTACTTTTATTGTTCAAAAATCCTAAATGTAATTATTTTAATAAACTATTTAATCCAAGCGCAGGTCAAAATGTAATATGTGTTTTAATTTTTCATACTCTCACAATACTTTTTTTTTTGATTCTGTGTTCAACCACAAACTGACTCGGTTATGCAAAACTAAATAAAAAGATCCTACTAAAACGTTAAATATACATCAAATTTCACATATAAAACTATTATATAATAAAAATAGAATCATTTGATATATTTTGTTACAACCAAAACAAAACCCGCGCTTCTCAAGCGCAGGTCAAAATCTAGTAAACATTAAAACAATAAACATCTACATTTTCAATAACGAAGATGTTAAAATATTTTCTCAGAATGCAATAGTAGAAACGATATATGTAAGGAAAAACATGAAGTTTACTATTACACTTTTCCCATAGATTAGAAAAAGAACAATTTGAACATTTTCCCAATCCCGAATTTCAGGCGAACACACGCATAATAGAAAACGAGACCACCCACCTGGGTCGCATAACAAACCAAAAGGTGTGTTCTTAGCCTCAGACTTATCCAACTGAGTTTTAAATTGATCCTTTAATGATCCGCCAACATTCAAGCCAAAGTTCTATGACTGTAAGTTTAATGGTTTGCATTACCTTATTGATATCATTACTATGCATAACACAACCTGAGTCTCAAGTTTTATCGTATAGGTGGTTGCGAGAAATGCGATTACTACGGTATGTAACCATACCCGGATAGTTTTATTGCATGATGAAACAAAGCTACCGTTCACTTTGCGTCGGCTATAGTTCTCCATCAGATTGTGTTACGCAATGACAATCAACAAAAGCCAGGGTCAAAGTTTAAAAGAAGTTCTCTTATATCTACCTAATCTAGTCTTTGCCCATGGTCAACTATATGTGGTTCACTTACGCGTGATAAGCAAAGCAGGACTAAAAATCATTAAGGGCCATGATTCGCACCCTCAAAATGTGAAAAACATAGTCTACAAAGAGATCTTCAACCAGTTTCCTTCTGATGAAAGTAAGTACAAATTTATAATTAGACGTAAAACAAAAAAAAATTAAAAGGTTATTTAGCTGAAAAATCACCATTGTCTCCACAGTGATCTAGCCGATAACACAAAGAATTAGCATCTCGAGTTTCCAACATTTTTAATCAACACTTTTTCTAAAAATTACATAATGACATAACAAATGTTTTTTATCCTACAAAATAATTCGGGCGTAGCGCAAAAAAAAGATCTAATAATTGTAACTAGATTTTGACCCGCGCTTAAAAGCGCGGAAATTTTTTATGATTAAAAATTTATATAATTGAGTTTTGTCTTAATTTAACGAATGTTTTGATATAAAATCAGTTCACCAAAATTTGTGACGATGATTGTTTTTCATTAGTTTTTTGTTTTACTTTTTATTTTTAGATTTTGGTTTTTGGTTTTTAGTTTTTAAGTTTCTACTTTTCATTTTCAGTTTTTGGTTTGGGTATTTAATTTTTAAACCTGCTAAGTTAGTTTGAATTGATATTACCAACAAACAAATCTCAAATAATCGAACATCTAATTTAAAACTGAAAAGATGAAAACAAATTTTTTTAAAAAAAATTTGAAATAGTTTATTTTGTAGATAAACAAAGCAAAAAAATATAATATGTGTTTTCATCTTTTGATTTTGGATTTTAGTTTTTAGATTTGGTTTTTGGTTTTGCTTTACATTTTTTTAATCAGTAAATTATTTAAGAAAAATAAAACAAAAATTATTTAAAAGTTACAATTGAAATTTATCAAAACAAAGTGATTGTTATTTAAAATAAAAATATATATTAACATGTTTTAAATTACATGATTTAAATAAATGATTAATAATAGATAATTTAGTTTTGTTAAAAAAATTAAATACCTTTTGGGTCTGAAAATAATAATTGATTTTTTGATCTTTTAAGGTGACAAGTTTATTCAATGTTTTTTGGAGTTTTTTCTTAATACTAAGCCTAAAAACCAAACTATATAATTTGTTCAAAAAATAAAAGTAAGCCCAAGACTATATTCCATAAATAAGCACTGGTTTAATTTAAGTATAATTAGTAGATTTCCATATTCCATATTTTGATGATATATATTCTTTTAGAATATTCCATATTTGTAGGAGAAAATATGTGTTTTCGGTATACACATAGATATTTGCTGTATTTTGAAGGTAATTTACATTAATGTCGTATTTTTACATTAATTGTGTTGGTTTAATTTAAGTAAATACGATTCAATCAATTATATGACTTATATTATTTGTAACATCCTAGAAAATGTCCAAATTTAAATGATAACTTGTATCAGTAGATAAAAAGAAGGACTTTATTTTAATAGAAAAGAAGGACTCTATTTTAATAGAATAGATATGTACAAATCTTATCTTCTCAAAGTCAATAACCAGAGTAGAAGATGTCGACGAAAAAAAAAAAACCAGAGTAGAAGATGAGACATGATTTTTTTTTTTGGATAAAAAAAAGGTCAAAAACATGATATATCTTTCAAGGCTTTCTAATAGAGACGTGAAAATAAAATGTACATAAACAATAAAGATAATGCAGACAAAAGTACCAAATAATAAAAAGGTCGTAGATTTGTGTTTCATAACATAAAAATGTTTAAAGAACTTATACTGCCTATAAATGGCGACTTTTAAGAATCTAATCAAAGAGAAGAGAGATGATAAACTAGACGTCCTAATTAAAGTATGCTAAAGTGGATTCTCTCATGGTTGTGTTTATGCTCTCAATCATGATAATATACAGACAAAAGACTCTCACAACTACTTCAAACATTCTTCTCTCTTCTCTGTCGGATCTTCAAGGATTTGTTAAAACTGTAAAATGTTTCTTCTAATCAGATTGCTCAAGTGGTACACGGACAAACAACTGGCCGTTCAGGGTCACCACAGCCGATGTGTGATGCGGATCGATCCTTGTAGGCAAACTTACCACCTAAATACAATTCAAGATAAAAGTTAAACAAAAATGTCATTCCACATTCTATATAATCAAAACATGTTTTGAATCATAAGAACTAACGAGAACTACCTTTTTGAAAGGAGTAGCTCCCCAGGGATTCATAGGGTTCTCGGGTTCGCCACTTATTACCAACCTCCCTGCCGGATCTGATTGGACTCGGACCTGTGTTAATTATTTGCCAAGATAAGTTGTTGATATGTAAACAAAACAGTACACATATTACAATATTCCAAGTGTGTGAGAGAACTAACCTCTTCACGGACTAGTCCTGGGACTAATGCATACACCTCAAAGCAATCTTGCTGCGAATATTGGAAAAGGTTTTTAATAATTACATATAAAAACAGGTAAGTGATTGCTCAGATTTTCAAAGGAGCAACATACCGTCCTCTGTACATTAATCTTCACCCAGTCAGCTGGTGGTCCAACATCAACAACTGTCACATCCAACCTAAGAAGAAGAACAACAACCGGAATCATAACTCAAACGTGAAGTATCACATGTCGTTAACTCCGAGCACAAAACTGATAAACATACATAGGGTTAGACACTTGGATGGCATGTTTTGCAACATGTTCAGTAGACGATAGCCTCTTGCGTTTAAGCAACCCTGATGACATCGTGAGAATGTAAGTAATAAACTGAGTCAAAGCTTCAATCATACAAATGAAAACGAAGACTTCTTCACCGAACATAACTCATACCAGGGGATGTTCCTATCTGCTTTTCGCGCTTTTGATGAAGAACTAAATTCTTATCCTACAGTTACAAATAGGGTGGGTTCAGACAATGACAACAAAGGTAATATAGATGAAACATAACAAGATTCTGTCGGACCTTAATTGCAGGGTCATTAGCTTCACCGTTCCCATTAAGACGCTGTGAATTCCAACCTTGCATAGCACGTGCTGCTGAGTCTCTCCTTGCTCTACCAGATCCAGAAGCCTGCTTGACAGCAGGTTAAGTTATGAAACATAAACATTTAATCATAAAAAGAAGATCAAACAAAAACTACAGACGCATGATTACATATTATTCACCATCTTACCTGATTATCAATATTCATTGGTTCTGGTTCAATAGCAAGGGGTATCTGTACTTCACCTGAGTTAACTTTATGCCGCTCATATTCAAGAAGAGCCTGAAAGAAGGAATAAACCATAAAAACGTTACAACACCAACACCAGCTGGTTATTAAGGAAAATATATCTCCAGAGGATTCGCACATGTTCTCTGTTCAATCATTTAAATTATATTTCAGAAGGATTGAAGCAGCGTACCATGACAATACAAAAGCCACGTTACAGGGGAAAAAAACAGAGAATGGAAAACACACAAAAGAGGGTGGACATATAATCTCACCTTTTCGTAGAAACCTCGGAAAGTCCATGACACTGTTGTACATGTCCTGGACAAACAATTCAGCAATTAATTAGAACACATTCTTGGGAATATGCAAACAATTCCCCAAACTCAAGACAAACCCACTAATAAGAAAATAACAAGGCAAATGGTAAATGACAAAATTCTTCTTACTTTGGGGGCCTGAAAGACTCTCCTACTTGTCGCCATAGTTTGCATCCCGTAACCTATTCAGAATAAAACATAAACTAATCATGTAAGATAATCACCAAAGAAGGGATGAAACGCAAAGGCCACATTTGATCGTCAACAAAGATGCTATCAGGAACATTGACGGTGGGACATACCTTGTCATAACCCCCCAATCTAATTACAGCTCTCCACAACCTTGCGTCAAAGAAAATGAATGAATATCAGCTCCCACGGAAATTCTTAAACACAATAAAGTTACTAAATAAAAGCTGGGAAGCAAGCTTACTTAAGGCAGTTTAGTCCCTCCCCATAAAATTTTGGAGGTTTAAAGTCCATCTTTCTCTCTCTAAAGAAGTGATACAATTCTTTCATAAAAGCAGCTTGATCCTCCTCCGTTCCAGATTCATAGCCCTCCGACGTACCATCCAACAGGAAAGAGCGTTTTGGGCTCATGGGCCTATCCAAACCAGGTGATGGCGGACCTGTTTTATGGACCCCATTATTCAAACCACCACTTACCCCCAGTTCAGACTTTGTATCAGATGATGCAACACAGAGAGGACCAGGTTCACGTCTCACTGAGCCATTCTCATTATCAGCATCATTTCCCTCAGGTACTAATACTATAGAATAATCTTTATTTTCAGCATTAGTAGGAGCCTCGACACTGACATCGTTGTTATTTGGAGGGTCAACACTAGCATCAGGAACAAAAATAGAATCAGGGACGTCAAGATCCATGTCTTCCATACGTTCAGTCTCAAGTGTAGCAACTCCTTCGTTATGGTCCTGGGTAGCAGGCAAGAGAGATAACTCTTTGTCACTGTTTCCTGGAACTCCAGCAGCTAACACATCAGAGTTTTGGTTGTCTTCTGTCAAATTTTCAGTGGCAGGAAGGTCTGGCTCTTTTTCAACGCTCGCGGAGGTTTCTATGAGAGGCTCGGATGGTTTATTTTCCAGGTTTGATTCGGTCTCAGAAACAGGCACATCTGGCTCTTTTTCATCCCCCGTTGTGGTTCCTTGATCATGATAAACCAGCTCACCTCCATGGTCAGCCAAATTCATATTCTCAGCCTCGCCCTTGTCTAGCCTGTCATTGTTCTCCTCAACATCTTTGGTATCAGTAGTTACTGGATATTCGTTATGATCTCCTGAGGATATCATGTCATGTTCTTCTGCAGCTTCGTCCTGCCCCATTACAGTATCAGCATGATGAAGCGGTGATCCTTTTCCCATCGATATTTTGGTATCAGACAAAACTGTAATCTCGTTGTGGCCTTCTGAGGATGCCATATTGTGTTCTTCTGCAGCTTTTTCCTGCTCCATTACAGTATCTGCATGACGAAGCGGTAATCCTTTTCCTTCCGAGATTTTGGTATCAGGCGTAACTGTAATCTCGTCGTGGTCTCCTGAGGATGCCATGTTATGTTCTTCTGCAGGTTCGTCCTGCTCCACTACAGTATTGGCATGACGATGTGGCGATTCTTTTCCCTCCGAGATTTTGGTATCAGGAGTAACTGTATCCTCGTTGTGGTCTCCTGAGGATGCCATGTTATGTTCTACTTCCATGTTATGTTCTACTTCTTCCCCAGGTTTCTCCTGCTCCATCACAGTATCAGCATGATGAAGGGGTGATCCTTTTTCTTCTGAGAGTTTGTTATCAGGAGTGACTGTAATCTCGTTAAAGTCTCCTGAGGATGCCATTTCATGCTCTTCTGTAGCTTTGTCCTGATCCATCACAGTATTAGCATGATGATGTGGCGATCCTTTTTCCTCTGAGACTTCGCTATGAGGTACTGTGGCCGTTTCGTCATGGACTACTGGAGTATCTTTGTCAACCATGACAGAATCTCTATCATTTTTTAAGACACACGAACTTACTTCGCTGGACTCAATGTTCCGTTCAACATTGTCTTCCACAGTAGTCTTGTTTAACCCTTCTTCAGGATCTATAGCCACTGAAGGAGTAGGATTCAGATGTGGGCTTGTCTCTAATTGGGAACTCTTCTCATCTTGTGTTTTCTCATCATCAATCTTTGGTATATCATCATCGTCGGCCCCCTTCTCAAGGATAGAAACATGAGAAACACCTTCTAGAGTGATCATGGGAGAAGGAGGATCCTTATGTTCGCTTACTGGACCTTCCTCTCCTACAGTCTCTCCTGGATTCTTATTCTCGGTTTCCATAACAGTATCCTGACTTTGCTCTTCAGTCTCAGTTTCCTTATCGGTTTCAGCAACAGTATTCTGACTTTGCTCTTCAGTTTCCATTTTCTTATCTGTTCCCTGTTCAGCTCTCTCACTCTCCATTTCTGTTAGATTCTCTATTGCTGAATCCATTTCGACAGCATTCCACGCATACAAGAATGTTCTAAAACACGAATTGCAGAAAAACAAGAGAAATGAACACAGGTTTCACTGAAGCTTATTAATTTAGGAAACGTATCTGGGACTCACTAAAGAAGTAAAAACAAGTGAGTAGGGAGAACACTTTGAGGGGAAGTTAATTTCTGGTTCTTACTTAGGTTTTAGATTACAGTACTAGTTTGAAAATTAAGATGGAGAATCATTTCTGAACCATCTATCAGAATCAGCTTATCATCATAATCTAATACTTAAAAGAACCTTTTTATGTTTTTACTTAACCAAGGCGTCAGTTAAAAAAGGTCATGACTTCATCTAATCCAACCCAAAATGCCGCAAAATTGGGACGAGGGTTGCTAACAAAAATCGAAATTGAAATGAAAGATTATCAATTTACGCAGTCAATTTCAGATTTCTAACAAAAGAATACAAAACCTCTAGCAACATAGTCGCAAATTTCGGATTCACTACAATTAAAAGAAAGAATTGCAAATTCCGAATTAGAATAGAAAACGAACCTCGGAAGTGAAGAAGAAGAAGAAGAAAGGGAGAGAGGCGACAAGATTGAGGAATTTTCGCAGTGACTGAAACACTCTCTTTGCGTCCTCCTCCTCTTCCACCGAATCGAAATTGGAACTAATGCACAAGAAAAATCGAGGGTTTCACTTTGAACCGGTTTTCTCTTTAGGTTCTGGGCTCACGGGCTTAACCTAATCTAGGCCCAATCTACATCAACCATTTTTCACAAGTTATTGTCGGGATAGATTTTCCCTAATCTTGTCTATCTATCTATTTATATATATACTCACTTGAGAAATTGTTTTTTTTTTTTTGTTGATTTGTCATATTTTCCATAAAATTCAGATTGTTTTTTCATATGTCATATATTTAAATAATTTAAAGTTGGCTTAGTAATTTTGCTTATATGTCATTTCTCCATAATATAAGTTATTTTACTTGTCATGTTTAAATAAATTTTAATCGACTCATTAATTTTTAATGGTTCAGTAATTATGAATTTATTAGTTAAAATAATAATAGTTATTCAAACTTTTAAATTAAATATATAATTATTTTGCTTAACTTTGCAATTTGGAAGAATAGAACACAATTCTAATTAAAACCAAGACACCCCATTAATCAAAAACCATTCATGGGAAATAACATAAGATTGACATAGGTAATATTTTTATCTTATATTATAGTTTAACAATAATTTAGACAATATGTAAGTGATATTTATCATAATCTATGTTATATTATAATAATATGTAAGTGATAATACAAAGAAATTTTGTTATCATAAATTTGATCAATATATACGAAACTTATGATATTAAAAAAGATACACAAAACTTATAAACTTTTCAAGGAAAAATAATAATTTATTAACAATGTCTTTTTTTTTATTAGAGATATTGATCCAAGTAGAAATTATTAAAAAAAGGATTAAAGTTAGAGTGTTGAAATTTTCGAATACATAAAAAAATTCAAAAATAATTTTATTTGAATTAGTGTTAGTTGATATTGTTGTATGTATAATATTTTTTATTTCTTTATTGATTATCATTAATTATATGATTTAGTGTTAGTGACTTATTTTTGTAATTTATTTCTTAGGAGTGAAGCAGCAAACTCATAATTAAAGATGGAAACTTAATTGTTTTTGCACCAATGTAAGGGAAGAGAAAGAAAGACCTTGAATGGAAGGAACTCTCGACATGTAAAGGAATGTTGTCTGAGCCATCTCTTCCTCTTTCTCGCTGTAAAGAATGGAGTTTGTGATGATTTTTGGCACCGCCTGTGACTGATCTTCGCTTGCTTTTATGTCACTTTGTCTAAGTGACTAAATGTTTTTGTTACTGAAAAAAATATTAAAGGCGGTGACCAAGTGGTGATTATCTATCGTAAAACTAGGGGTAAAACATATTAGACCATAATTAACTTGGAGTTCTTAAGTTAGGGTTCTTATCGGAAGTTAAAAAACTGTCTTTTAACTTTTAACTAAAAGAGTTAAGAACCAGTTCTTAATTTAAGAATCGGTTTATTAAATTTAAGAACCGGTTCTTAAAGTCTTTATTTAAGAACCATTTCTTAACTTTTTTTAATTAAAAGTTAAGAAACATTTTCTTAACTTTTGTTTCTTAACTTTTGTTAAGAACCCCATCATAAGAACTCCGGATTAAACATGCTCTTATGAGTTGTCTGTTTTTCTACTTCTCACTCTTTTGTTTCACATAAAGATAGAGACCAATATAAAAAAAAAATATTATACGAGAACAATTTTAAGTTTATTATTACATTATAAGAAACTTATTTCTACTAGGATAGTTTTCTCTAACCAAATTCACTTTCTATCTATAAACTAACTAAATAAGCTAAATAAGTAATATATTTATGTTTCTTTTCTTTATTTAATCACAACCCTTCATTCTCTACAATCATTCATTTTATCTCTTTCTCTTCTCTCTACTGGTGCTTTTCTCTGTAGAAACATGTTAAACTAAGCTCAATCGTTCATCCTTTTGTCTGCTTCTTTATCTCTCCATAGTATCATTATCAATTTCTCAACGCTAGTTTTTTTCTCCTTTATCAATCCATGAACATAAAGCTTGGCTGGAAGAAGACAACAACGATAGAGGAGCTACTTGTAACAGCGCCGGTGGAAAGCAGAGCAGCGTTGAAGACGGCGGCAGCGAATCCCGAGCTTTTTGACCCTTTAGAGAAAACAAAGAACTTTTTTCTTTGTTTCAAATTCATTATTTTCTGTAAAATCAAATCTGGTTCTTCAAATGATTTGTTCAACTAGGTCTTGTATTTAGTTTTTGTTCAAAAAATTTGGAGTCGGATGGCAATTTGGAACAAATATTCAACAAATCTGAGAACAAAAAAAAAATCACTTTTGTTTAAACTTTTAAATATAAAATCATGAATTAGAATTGAAATCTATCACATATGGGTAAAATATATAAAAACAAGTGGAGAATGTAAGAAATCGTCAAAATAGGCGAGAGAGGGAGAGATTATGGTTTATGGTCGACAGTGGTAAAAGAAGAAGAAAAGGTTATTTTCGTAATTTTGCATAACTAATGAAAAAAAAAGTTTGTACACGAAACTTGTTCGTGTTGTACACATGTACACACTTGTTTTTGTACATCCTAACAAAGTTTTTCAAGAACACCAAGCCTTAAACAAACAAAATCAAAGAATGAGGTCTTATCTCACTATGTACAAAGATAATGGATCTGTGAGCGTCGATACATCGTTTCACTTTAGCTACCAAAAGAAAACAGAGTGGACAAAAGATACATTCTTTTTGCTGGAGAAACAATACTTTTTATTTTGTACAATGGATATGAACTTATGGATAAATGCCTATTAAGGACAAGTAGTGTTTTTCGGGTAATAATGTTGTGGTTAAGTAGTGTTGCAATTAGTTTTAAATTTGTAAAGATTATGAAATTGTATATAAATACAGACTTTTAAATGTTTAGTGTTTAGATTAAATTATACATATGGATATTGATCACAATGATGTACACGTGGATATAATTCAGCAAAGGTACATGTAGATAATACATTATGTGTGCACATTGATAATACTCTAAGTTGAACGAGACTCAATTATGTATATGTACATATTTATTGGTAAACTGATACTACTCTAAGTTAGAAAACCTACATGTTTCATGTATATGCATATGCATATGCAAAGAGGTACACATGTTGTGTTTGTACACAAGTACATATATAATCATGTAGTTTAATTTACGTAAACCATGTTCCCTTGTCGTTATACCTACAAAGACAAATCTATCTCTTTAACTTGTACATACGTACACTAATATTATGTATACATCCGTGTGATCATCCAATGTGCCCGTGTACACGAACATGTGTACACTAACATTATGTACACATCCACGTGATCATCCACGTGATCATCCAATTAATTTTTTAAATGAGTGGCAATTTTGTAATAATTTCATCTTTTTCTTATTAGGGGTTTTTGCGTTTTCTGCAAATATAACTCACAGCCGCCATTGATTATTATATCTTCAAGCTCATAGAAATTTCGTTTAAATTCCTATATCAAACTACTAAGCTCTGAAAATTATATTTTTTGTATTCTCCTGACTCCATAACCGAATTGAACCAAAACACCACAGTCAGTAAACACCATAACAACTCCAGATGGGCATGACGGTGAAGATGAGCGCAGCAGAGTGATTCGGAGGTGATTTGTCGATGACGACAATGTCTAGGTCTCGATTTTTTCATTTACAGTGGCTTTACATAAGACTTCGAGCAAGAACATAGAGTTTGGTGGTTTGGTGTTTGGTGCTTGTGACAAGAACCTAATTTTCAAAAACCCGACCAATTAAAATATTAGTTAATTACTCTAACTAAATAGAACATCTACGGTTACATTTTAAAGGAGCAAGTTGAGTCTTTTCACTACAAAACTATCGTAGGAGTAACAATTGCCTTTTAATGTAAAAGAAAACATGAAACTGTCTTGTGGTGTTAAAAACTCTATAAAAAAGGTCAAAGTAATCATATATGTAAGAGTTTTTAACCGTTTGTATTTTTTTTTTTATCTTTTGTGTTTTTCTCGAAAACTACTTTTGAAGGTTTTTTAAAGAGAGAATAACATTCTAAGTCACATTTTGAGTTTGTGTTACACTATGAGTCACATGTTACTACTTAGACACTTTCTTTAACTTTTTCATTTCATTTCTAACCAAAACGTAACTAAATTATATTAGTAGGACCTACTCATTTATTTCATCTTCTTCTTCATTTTATTTTCTTCACCAATTTTTATTTCTAATTGAGTTTGAGACTATCTTTACAAAAAATGGTGGATAAGAGTTTCTAACTGTGGGTGAACCTCAGTTGATCTCGAGCTGAGTTTGATCACGAAACTGTCGTAGTACTTCTCCTCTACCATGAAATCAACACAAACAGATTCCTCCTTCACGTCATACTCTACAATTCATCTCCCTTGTCACATCACAAATAGCTTATGGTGGTTGTGATACATGAAATATGCCATAGTGGCCGTTGTTTTAGCTGCTCAATGAAGCTTGAACAACAATGGCCAAATATCACAAAAAAACTTATTTTGAAATCTGAAGTTAAAAATCAAAATATAAATGATAAAGTTATGATCTTGTAGTGTAATCACGATTAAACATGGAATAATAAAAGATTATGTGAAAGAAAATAAATGACGGCCGTAAAAATGGTTGCAGAAAACCCTAAAAATTTGGAGAAGACGATGACATATTTACCAAAATGCCATTCATTAA